GATGGCGTTCTCTTGTCGCCCGATGCGCCGATCGGCGCGGGAGGATCTAAGTCTAAGTAATAGCAGTCAAAGCCCAAAGACTTTTCGCAAAGTCTGAAATACAATTGTATTAAAATAACAGTACCAACACTTGCTTCTTCTGAATAAGAGGTACAGAGACAACCTAATGAGGATTATTGGATGATTTCTGTACTGGCTCACATGTACAAGCAGTGTATTTAAAATCCTGAATGACTTTGTAAAAACTCGGTGAGTAAAAACAGAGAGTGAAAACACGAATGAGCTGTTTCAGTCAGAGCGCAGCATCTTTTCCGTAGTATGATGTCGACTGGAGTAAAAAGTGTACGGCGAGCCTTTCACCACCGCCGCCTCTCCCCGAAGCAGTGGTGTAATGGCCTCAGCAGTCAGCTGAATGAGCTGAGAGCCCTCAGGAAGTGCCATTACTGCTCATGTTTGTGATGCCGCCTTTCTTAAAAGAAGAAAACGCCACAAAACTCTGAATTTTTCATCTGCTGCTGATTCTTTTTATCTGGCCGTATCATGAATAATACAGAGTTGCAAAGGGCCATCTTACACACATCCAGAATAAGGCAGTAAGATGGAGGGTGGTGTTAAAAATCTGACCTATGTGCTACCTGGCTTGGGATCCATCATCTGTCTTACAGTCATCTTATATCAGAACTTATTTTTTATATTGCTTTATATGCCCTGAGCTACACTTCCAGGAGGTATAAAGGTAAAGGAAATTTTTCTCTAAAAATGTGCAAATTGTATGTATTAGTGTAATAGTTTATAGAGAACTTGTCACATAATCTCTACCTGTAAACTTTGGGGCAGGTACTCCATCTTCACAGTCGATGGCTGCTGTCTCCTCATACACCTCGTTGGTCTCTTTGCCCTTCTGCCCATCTGTACCTTCTGTCTCCACCTGGCCCCCAGGAGCCACCTGGTCACAGACGCTGCCATTGGGGGTCAGTAGACCGCTCACTTCTACAGACACCTCTCCAGCTGAGGTGTCTGACCCGGTGTAGACAGGAGGAGGAGGAACGGGTGGCAGGGAGTCTCGGAGGACTGTGTATTCGTAGGTGATGTAAGGTGTGCGGCCATTTTGGTTCCACACCTGTCAGATGAGGAGAGTAAATCGAAGATGTTTATGGAGTCACAAAACAAAAACTATAATTAGACCAACTCAAGGTGGTCTCAAAGATAGACTC